AAATAATTATCTACAGATTAAATGCGGTCATTTATGGAATGTTTTGCACAACTCCTTTAAGCCTGTAAACTCAAGTGGCAACACATGATTGCTTATCATTTTGAAGCAAAGATTTTGACGCCGACATCGTGATTCAACCGTCTGAAAAGTAGGGTTCGAGGGCAGTCTTCTTTTCTAAGTTTATGCGAAGTTTAGACTGCCTCATTAGCAGTGAAGGCACAATTATCTCTATCGCAATGACCTAACTAAACAGTCTTGACACATAAACTAACTGTATGGCTGCTGAAGCAACAGGTAAATAATGGCGCCAATTAGAGGAGTAAAGAAACCCTCTTCTAATGCGGAAGAAGGGGTAGCCGACGGTGAAAACTCATAATATAGCAGCTACCTGGTTAAGGCTAAACTAGACACAGTGACCAAAGGTGAAGGGGCTCACCTGACAATGCAAAGATCGATCGAGTTTCCGCTGTCTAGAAAAATAGTTCAATGCCATCTTATTCAACAGTCGCGGCATATCTGATTTATCGAATCCAAAAAAAGTTTTTGTGTTATCTATTAAAAATAAAATGCTATAAAAAGGGCAATTTTGACTATATAGCGGGACAATTAATAAATATTACAATCAAAATAAAAACTATTCAATGGGATAAAATAATAAAATACTATTTCTTTTAATAGCAAACAGCACACACTTTTCAATATTTCTAAAAATGAATAGAAAAGACAGTTGAGCACAAAGAACTACTCTAAAAAACTAATTAAACTGTACAAGATATTACACTGAGACGGCAAAGGGCCACTGCTTAAACGAAAAACCTGAGCGATACAGGCATATAAAACAGTAATTAACATTGCTGCAATTCAATAAGCCATTCAACCTGAGATAAACTTGAACTTTGCCAAACACACACACACTGTGACAAAGTGGGAGGTGAACAAAGGTGAAAATGGCAAGAAGGGTTGTGCCGCAATCAAAGTAGCCACTCATGAAAATCTTCACTGATGCAAGCTAACTTGGGATGTTTTTGCAAATGTTTTCTTCTTAGCACGATTGCCTAAAAGTGTGATGTCGAGGCCAAAGAGCACTCTCCATTGTGTGCCATCTCAACGCACACATTATTGAGCATAATTAGGCTGTTAAAATACAGAAAAGCCATCAAAGACAACTTTAGCGGCACTTTTGGCAGAGTGTTTGAACTCTTCAACAACAACAGTGAGAGTATATAATGAACTAAAATAAAAGCGCCCTAATAATTGATTTGCCAACCACAACAATTAAAGGTGCCAATGAGGAAATTAATGGAGCAGGAGACAGATTTCCCTGCACTGATAGCTGCGAAACAGGAGGAGATGATAGCACACGAGTGCCAACTATGGCGCCTTTTCACAGAAAAGACTCCTTTCCATAACAAGAAAGTCATTTAGGCAGACATCAACAAGCCACAAAAGTATATGAAAGTGAAACGGTTTAGTTAACAGTTGCAACGCAAGCAGTACGCGTACAAGATAATCTCAAATTGGATTTAGACATGAAAATGACTGTGATAACTGTACTAAGCTGCCGTTTAACAACTGCAGATCGATCGACCGGTTGCACAGTGTCGGCAAACGGATCAACTAAAAAGGGGAAACGAGTGTAATTCCTTTTTTCAGTGTAAAAATTGGAAAGTTTAATTAAGAAAAACCACACACAGAGGATGCAGCACGACTAGGATAAAAATGCGGCAAAAAAGTTGCCAGCCACTGTTTAGAAATAAATTGCATTAGGATTATGCCAAAAGTGCATTGAACGCATTCAAACGCGTGAGTTAAGTGTGACCGTATGCAAAATGGCCGAGAAAAGGATGTCAGTGTCAACAAATAAACTCTTTGCATTGTTCATTTAGCAGAAGTGATGCTGGAGCGTGGCAGCTGCAAGTACAGATTAAGTCCAAGTGCCACCATTTGAATGTGACACCTCACTGACAATTGCATAATATACTAGTACAATAGTATACCATCGCATACACCACTAAAAAATCGATTTTAGCTAAAAAGATAGTTTTAGTGCTAATCAAGATCGTGTGATATAACACAAACAGTAAATCGATAAAAAATAAAAAACAGTTTGGTTAAAATTGTAACCTTTCAATACAGTGATTTAGGCTAGCGTTTGATTATTCCTCATAAACTCACTCAGTATGTGTTTATCAAAAGTTGCGTGAAGTAAAAACATTTGACAAAAAATGCATCAATCCAAGCTACTTTGTTTCAAAAAAGATTGCTGCATCAGCAGAAGCCTCTTTGGCACAAAAGTTGAAAATCGATCGACTACAGAAAAAAAGAACAAGTCACTTTGTGAAAGTTGACAACTTGGAAGCAATTGAGAACGTGTTTACTTCACAAATTAGTCGCTAAGCTGACGTCCCACAAGTAGAAATGCTGAATGAATGAGTGCTTAAATGGGGCAGTGAAACAGTAGTGTTACATTTTTCTTTTCTTTTCTTTTCGATGGCATGTGCAAGTTGATACGACAGTTCACTAAAAAGTGCCGTCAAGAATGCGGTGATGACGGAAACCAATTGCAGTAGTTTCTGAAGCTTCTTTCTAGGCTGTATCTGACTAAATTAGAGCATCACTACTTTATCAAACGAGAACGGCAAATGTCTGAAAGAAAGTAGACCAAGAAACAGCAGTGAATGCTGGTGAATGGACCCTTTTTGATGGGCGTCAAGCACTTTTTTCTGGCAGTAGAAGCTTTTTCTGCCAATCAAGTGAACTAGAATTTCAATTACGCCATTCATCAAGTGGAACAGTTCAACATTCAACTTGCGAACAAGCGGGGCATACATAGGCGCCAATGATATGATGGGCGTAATTGCAATAATTGTAAAGTACTGTCTGCCAGATAAATTGGTCATAAATCTGACTCGAGCTGAAACGCCTAATTACAAGAAAATAACAGACACTAGCTGATGAAATTCTATAAATACTTCGATTTAAATTCAGTAGCTAAAAAAATATTTTCAAATAGTATTATGTCGGGCAAAAACGCAGTGACAAAAATCAATTATTTGTTAAACAAAGTGCAAATGAAGGAAATTAGCCACAATTAATATTAATGACAGCATTTGAAAATGCCAACCTAACTCCTCTTTAAGAGTAAGAGCAAAACCAATTGGAACGCAAACGAAACGACTACTTTGCTGACGCATCATTTGCCATCTTCACTCCCTTCTTCTACACTAAGTGGCACTAATCAACACGCGCCACTCGGCACTATGTGCAAAAATGAGACAGTTGTAAAGCAGAATATATCTGAAATCAGACAAACAGGGTGCTAATTCAAAGGCCCTTATCTAAGAATAGCCAAAGCGAAAAAGTGCATTGCACTGTTTTGTAGCATGGCGACAGTAGTTTGTTGACTCGGCTATGCGCAGCATCACACTGTGGCACTGACGACTGGTGACACTAAGAAAGTGGTCGAGTGAAAGCGAGTGATCTCAATAGTGATAGTCATCGAGACACTTGCACCTAGTGGCTGAACTACTACTCCTCCTCCTTCAGAGAAGAGGAACTTTGTCCGATGGCAAGTGCAGTGCACTCTGTCTGCTTTTCCAGTGGTAGTGCACTTGACATTTGTGGCAGGAAAAAGCGATGGGGAGAACTGAAGGAGACACATTCAGAAACATCGCAAACGATATTAGGTTCTCTGCTTAACACTGACATAACCGTCATAAAAAATGCCATGAACAGCCATAATAGTCAAGTTAGGTCAACTCGATGGGACGATATGGGCGACATGTCACTACAGCCTGGGCGGGAAATACTAATAAATTGAATTGTCGACTCCCGGTCTGCCCCAACGGCAGCATCAGCAGTGCAGAGGCAAAAGTAACTACAGCAAATTCACACCAATCAAGTGCAGGCTAACAAAACGTTTCACCCGGAAAACAATATCAAGTAGAGAGGGATGCAGTGATAGAAGGCCAATCAAAGCTAGACTTGGCAAACATGGCAAAGGAGCGCAAATTGGTGCTATTGATGCTGCGGGAAAAACACAGCTATGGTAAGGTTTATCAGTGAACAAACAGACAGGTTGAACGAAGCAATGCAGACAGAAAGAGCATTGCGATGAGACATTAGTGTCATTAGTCGGATAGTGAATGCTGCAATTAGCCAGACACAACCTGATCTCCAAGGCAAGAAACGTACTTCAAAATGCCTCAACTGCAGCACTCATTCAATTGCTGGTTACCCGGCGACCAGTTAAAAAACTGACTATGGCGGTAAACAGAACCATTCACTTTTTTTTGCGCCTTTACTTCTATCTCTATCTGAACAGACCGGGAAATCAGTCGGCAAATGCGACTGAAACACCAAAACGATGGTCACCCTGTTAAGATAATGGATATTGAAAGGAAAACTGAGGTGCCTACAACAGAGCAAACAACAACAGCACAGCAAGTGAGCAAGTGGCCAAAGTTGGCCAGAGAGTGCAAACATGCAAAGGTGCCTGTTGAATAGAGCAAAAAAGAGTAAGAGAGAGTTAATGAATTCAACTTTTTAGAAAATGGCACTGCAAAGTGCAGTCAATGAAAAGGAAAAGAAAAGTGCGTTTGTAAGTCTAGCAAATAAAAGCGCAAATCATTTGGCAAAACAAAGATCTGACAAAAAGCACAAGAAGAGAGTAAACGGAGCTGTCTTTTCAAAGTTAATCCAGTTTATCGCTTTGGCGGCGTTTATTACATCAAAGCAGGGATGTATCACTGCAATGTCAATAGCCAAGCTCAATGGGCTATAGCAGCACTAGATAGAGGATTGAGGGAAGGAGGTGGCAGTTGCTGATTCAAATAAGGAAAGTCTTTCACTCCCTTGCTCATACACACTTCTACTGTAATCTATTGCAGCAGTGCGCTAATAGCTTTTCTCGCACTACTCTATTAGTAAATTAGCATACAGCATCAATACTGACTGGTTGGCTGATTCAATACAGCTAAAGAAGAAATTGGAGCACTTACTTTGAATCGAGCCAAAATGACGCTCCAATCGGCGACTGTTTCCGAGAGGCAGAGCCTCGTCGTCTTCCTCGAGTTGCTTCCTCTAAATTGCCTCTCCGGTCGCAGTGACATCATCAATTCTTCAGCTTCCTCGTCTTCGTAGAAGGCATCCTCATCATCCTCTTCTTCCTCCTCCTCTACATCAACAGCATCTTCACCTTCTTCTTTTCTTTCTTCCCCCATCACAACCTCCTCCTCCTCCTCCTGCTTCATTTCCTTTTCGTCGCCCTCAACCTTTTCATCTTCAAGCTCACTGTCCTCATGATCAATGACTGCTACAGACTGTTGTCCTACAGCCTTCCCTTCATTCTGTTCGTTGACACCGGCATCACTCTTCTTCTTCTTCTTGGCACAATGCTGCAGCACTGCTGAGCGATTGACATCAGCACACTTATCGCCATGATCGCTGGCAGAGCGACAGTCCGCTAAATCATCGCTAGGGTGGAAAGAAGAGGAGGAGGACACTGTCACTGCTGCGCCGGTTGTGTCTGCCGCTGTCGGAGCTTCTGTATGGGGCAACTTCTGTGACTCGGCGACACCACTGGTCGAGGAGGCAATTTTGGCACAATAGCAGACTGAATCAAGTTGGTTCTCCGCATAGTCGAGCCATTCGATAAATTCTGCCACCAGTGCTTTTGCAGAAAAGCTCTCAGCTGACGTAGAGTTTAGCGAGGAAAATTCCTCATCCTGGTAAATTTGCAAGAAGACGAATAAACAAATAAACAGCAGTTAAAAAGAAACGATACTTTGCTTTTGCAAACTGGCACAGAGATCAGCTTACCGAGTGGCAGTATTTGAGTGATGAATCCTCCTCAAGAGACAGTCCAAGACCACTGGAGGCGGCAGACGAAGGCGACCGAAGTGAGACGTGCTCATCGCAGTTGTGACACAGAGGAGAAAGCTTTGCACTGTTTTCTTCAGATTTGACCGAATGATTCTGTTCGCACTGATCTGCCTCAAAGTTGTTCTCCTGAAGTGCTTCCTAAAATGTAGATCGAATGAAAACAAGATGAATGTTTTGAGGTTATCAAAATAAGTTGAGTTGACCGCAAGTCTTACCTGACATGTAGTAATTAAATCAGTGCAGTTAATTAAATAATCGTAATCATCATTTTCAAATGGCCTGACAGTGGAAGAATTTAGGACTTCCATTTTAGATGATGTCGCCATTTGCGCCGTTTGACTGTAAGTGAAAAGAGATGAATGAGGTAATGTATAAAATATGGAAATAAAGATCAGTAGAGCAGAAATTGTCGCAGTGACACCGACCTTTGTAGAGCAAGTGCCTTTTTGTCAATGGCAGTGAAATTTAAATGGGTTCGAATCGTTTGTTGCAAAAAGTGCTGTCGTCCTGTTGACCGAAGATGGTCGTTTAGATCGATGAGACTGCTAGCGAGATGTTGCTCACAGGCGGCAGTGACATTTTGGTGTGCTGCTGCTGATGATGATGATGTTGAGCGAACATGCAAATGCCTCTTGACTGAATGTCTCTCCGTTTCATAGAGAGAATCAGAAGAGAGCGAACTGATCATAGCGAACAGGCTCTGTTATGCAAAAGTCAACAGATGTCTTCGAAAACATGGCACGTAGTCGGTGTGTGTGGGATAGAGCACTGCTGCTACGGTTTGGAAAGGGTCACTGGTGCAGACGACAAAGACGACATCAAACACATTCCAGAAAAAAGAGAGCACAGCTAGANAAGTCAACAGATGTCTTCGAAAACATGGCACGTAGTCGGTGTGTGTGGGATAGAGCACTGCTGCTACGGTTTGGAAAGGGTCACTGGTGCAGACGACAAAGACGACATCAAACACATTCCAGAAAAAAGAGAGCACAGCTAGATGAGGTGACAGTCTGTGTCTAATGTTGCCGCCACAAGCAGTTGAAAAGGTGCAGAGGCAAATAAAGTCAAATGTGATGACAGTGCACAAGAGAGAAAGAGCACAGAGGGGAGGAAGTTGATGTGCAGATGCATACGGCACGCAAATCAAGAGCAGCTGAATTAAGATTTGAACGGGCACAAAAGCTACGTTGTCGTTGTGCTGTGTTGAATGTTGGCCAACGTAAAACTGTTCGGCAGTAGCTACGAATGCTTGCCGTCTCTTGACATCAAATTCAAGTGATTTCAGTCTGTTGTAGCTTCTAGTTTCTTCACAGGTGTTGCTAGAGCAAAGGATTTGTATTCCCAGCAAACCACCCTAATGGCACCTTTTCAACGCCGCCAGTTGAGTCCTCCTTTTTTATTCTCTTCTGCGAAATGTCTCAAGTTACAGTTAACCACTTGATGAGAGAGAAAGTAAAAAGGAGTGACTGACTGACGGCCGACAACTAGCACTGCCTCACTGCTGGTAACACAACTGCAAAAACGTGTGTGGTACAACGACGTAAAAATATATGCACAGTAACAAATCCAAATCAATTAGTACACTTTACACTGGCACATTTTCAGTGATAGGTTGCATCGATAAGGTGAAAGTGTGCAAGCTGACAAACGACAGTTATGCAACTTCTGCAACGATTCACGATATTTTCCTGCAGATGTTTGCAGAAGAGAATTTGGTTGAAAATTCCAGGTCCGTTTTTTGTTGTTAAAACTGTTAGGAATAAAATAAAACAAAAATTAGTTATGAACGGTGAAAAACAACAGTATTGATTAATAAAAGGGCAAACAGTCAGTAGAGCATCAGTGAAAGTCGGTTAAAATTGTAAACATACACATACAACTGAAATGAGCTAATCTATTTAGACATGGCACTGAACATGGATAGGTAAGCTGGGCAGAAAGTAAACAGGCCAGATGTCAGCACAAACTAGTGTCAATGTAAAGGGCGCCAGCAAAGAAGGCAACTGCATTAGTAGAAAGGGCTCAGTCGGTCAGGTTTGTTTGTACACGAGGCAGTCTACAGTTAGATAAGCAATCGATCACACGAGCTTTATCTGGACAGTAAATTGAATGCATATTCTTTAAGTACGTCAAATTAATTACAATATACAAACGTTTACCAGATTAGAAGATTGGAGGGAAAAACAGAGTTAAAGAGAGTGATGTAGCTCGATTTCACTTGAACCGTAGAATGAACTAAACGGCTCTAGAGGCAGTGGACAGCTTCAGTCTAGGTGAGTGATGTCGTGATGCGATTGGAGCATCGTGAAAATGGTAAACAATTAGCTTTGAATGCGGTAAGTTGATGCGACGATAAAGTCAATTGACAAAGAAGGCAATTGTATCAGCACAACAACACCAGTGTGGAACACAAATTAATTTCAATCGAGCACGTAACTTGGCAATGGCGACAGCAGGAGCACTGTCAATGTCAGCACAGATTGCAGTCAGGAGTGTGCACCTAGTGATATTGAACTGCGCCAAACACTTGGTCGGTGTCGGCGGTGCAGTGCGTGCCAAATGGTCCACTGTTTGTTGGCGATCAGTCTCACCTCTGTTCAGCTTTGTTCCTCCTCCGCACTCAATCAATCGGTAATTAGAGGCGCCTCGATTGTCGATCAAACAGCATCAGAATCGCAATCTGTTGCAGGCGATCCACCTTGAGACTAGCAAAGTCATGACTGCCTCGCTCTAAAACGCGCAGTGAGGATTAATGAAATCGCTGTCGCAACCAGCGTGTGTGAAAGTGAGAGTCTTCAAACAATCGAAGACGGCCGCCGACACACCGAGCGGACACACACATGTTTACTTTCAGTCAGTATTGGCCGCAAACTTCAGCAGAAGACCAAAACTTAAAAATTAGATTAATTGCCAGATAGAGTGAGACAATGCAGGGCCAATAGATCCGAAGATGAATTATCGGCAGACAATCGAAGGCATCGAGGAGAGGAGAGAGAGAGAGAGTGAGAACAGCCGCTGAAAACAGTGGTCATGGGTCATGTCGTGGCTAGGAGGCGCCAATCGACAATTGCATTTCGCCCGTCGTGTGTCCTTTGCCGAGCCACAAGTGTGCTTGAGCAAACAAACAGCTGCACAAAAATGGACAGCACATTCGCAGATTGGCAGCAGATTAGCGCGGCACGGGAGCAGGCAGACGGCGCTAGTAGGCACCTTTGCACGGGCGCAACACTGCTTCCAGCATAGATAGCTGCATAGCTGCGACATGCAAATCGCACAAAGACAAAGTCGACGGTGCGCTGTTTGCTGGTGGTAATGACCGAGCTAGTACTCTAGCAGCAGCACTGCATTCGTTGATTTGCATTCACACTCTTCAGCCGCAAGCGCACAACACCAACTGTCGATGAGCAGCCACACATTACGACACTTATTGTCTTTANCACAAAGACAAAGTCGACGGTGCGCTGTTTGCTGGTGGTAATGACCGAGCTAGTACTCCAGCAACAGCACTGCATTCGTTGATTTGCATTCACACTCCTCAGCCGCAAGCGCACAACACCAACTGTCGATGAGCAGCCACACATTACGACACTTATTGTCTTTGCTAATAAGCAGACAGACTGAGAGAAGAGGGCGCCAATGAACGTGCTAATACTAATCGAATCACTGGAGACGCTGCAGTCATTCCAACATGATTCCAGTGATCCACAAGGCAGCTCCTCCAAAACAAGGGGGAAAACAACACGCGTGAGAGTGAGAGTACGTTGTGCACGAAATTGCAATGTGTTTGTGAGATGTTGGCTTCTTTGAACCTATCGAATGCAACACACTAACACCGCCAAGAGACAACGGGCCAAAGTGACTGAAAGTGATAGACGGACGGATTGTTAGCTGGCCAGCGCACTGCCTTGAACGGAAAGTGAGCCGAGTGCAAAGCTTGGGGTTAGCAGCAAAGCGAATGCCATCAACAATTGCTCCATTCATCATTGAATCGATCCCGCAAAGCTCACCACAATACCACTGACCACACTGACCAACGACCCGTAATCCATAGCAGCACTGTTAATCCCGTCGACAATCGCACTATTAATCATCATCGCTGTTCTAATGGGATTAATACAGCAGCAGGCAGTGATACGGCTTGTTCTTTCAAAGTCCGAAGTGAATAGTGAGAGTCCACCGCCTCAGGAAAGTCACTGTGTTCATAATGTTCCAATCGAAAGGCAAATCAACAGTATGAGTGATACTGATTGATTGATAGAGTACTGCTCACAGCCTACAAATGACACTGCTAATGACCAGTGCACACAAAAAGTCACCTGGCAGAGAGCTCAGCGCGGAAAACATCCGGAAAATGTTCACCAACATATTTGGCTGGCCACAGTGAAAGGCAACTTTGGGTGAGCAAAAATGTTTGGTTTCCGATGCGGGCTAGCTACGAGTAGCACAGGTAGTTTAAGGGAGCGCAGTACCACCAGCAGAGAAAGAGCGTGGAGACGGCGTCAAAATAGACCAGTCGGTCAGCAAGCAGACAGCCGGTGCAATCTATCAACAGGTGCCACAGGTATCTCTTGATTTATCATCCACTCACTGGCAATGCAACAGGCAGCTTAGCCAGCAGGCAGGCAGGCGACGAAGTGCAAATGGTGGATAACATAAAAAGAAATATGGTGAAAACTGAGGAACCTGACACAGCAGTGACAAAGGCAGCAGAAACAGTGCTTCTGTCAAGCCCAGGTGTGTGCGGGTGAAATAAATGTAACGGGTCCAAGAGCAAAAGGACAGACTAGCAAGGACACGTGGCGTTTCCTCGTAAACTAGGCCACGTACTCTTCCAAACAAAAAGAGAAAGAGAGGTCAAAAGAAGAAAAACATTTAGTGTTGGCAGATAATGACAGTGCGCGTTTAGCATTGAGTGTACCTAATTAACGCAACCCACTAGAAAGTCGAGCTACTGAGGGCGCTGAGCGACATTAACTTTCAGTAGCAAATGAGGTAGCATCATCGTTGAATCGAAGCGGATAAACTCAATTGCCCACACGAGAAAGGTCAGCCGGCAGCAGGTAGCGTGAGCTGAAAGGAGATAAACGATGCATTGATGCCACTGGAGATTGTCATTTAGGCGGTCGCTTCAATCAACCAAAGAAACGGGTTGCTAAAACAGCCTTCCTTTGCTTAATATAAAATCAATCATGACAATTACAATGGTAAAGTGTGGACGCACATTGCACGGAAAAAACAAGAAAGCTAGGTCAAGCATGCCGCCAAGGATGGGATGGATTAAAGATGAGCAACAGCTCTAAAATGAAAGACTAGCACACTTTCTTGTGATAGAAAAAGGA